TATAAGGTTCGGTTCGGAGTCATACAAAATATAATTTCAACTATATGAATATACATAAGGTACGCACCTGCACGACATACATAAAGTAACCTATTCTTCGCTCTCAATCGCCGCCAAATATTACATATAAGTTGCTGTGTCATGTGTTCATCCAAGACGAATTAATTTCTTTCGTTAATTCCTTTAGGAATAATATTGTAAGATTTGCTTTCGAATCCAACGTCTTACGTTATATGCACCTAAATGGGCGTCGTGAGGGGTGTAATACACAGCCTGATATGCTAACGACAATTTACTCGTAACAAAAATTTGCTCTATCAAACTACCAGAGAATATATATATATAAAAGCTGAGCAAAGCTTCTTGCTGCTTTTTATTCTTTATTATATCGAATTCACTTATTGCAATGAACTCTCGTTACCTCCGTTTGTTACATTTAACAAATCGTTGATTCGCTTGCACTTTGTGTCCTGATGTAGATGTATTTTTATCATTTATGTATTTCTGGTCGCGTGTTACATCTCTTGGCGAAATATCGAAAGCATATAGAACAATACATATATAGTATGTACACGCAGAATATTTATTTGTATATTGGCTATGTAAGCGGCTCGGAGTGTTCTTATTCTCACTGTCCAAGCGTCGAAATATTATTGAAGCTTTTGGCAATAGTACTGGGACTACGATATTTAGGTAAATTGGCAAAGTAAGGCATAAGTCATCGACATTTCGAAAAGTGGCTTAAGTGCAAACAAGCAAAAGCACTATAGTCCATCATGGTCCATCATTAACTACGCTATACCGCTTCGCTTTTCATAGTTATTCGACGACTTTTACGGTTATATAACGACACTTTCAAATTAGGCGTTACATGGGAAATGGACGAAAAAGCGGATCGATCCGAACCATTATCAGTAGTGTTTGTCCTTGGGCCAACACATGTTAGGGTATAAAATTTCATCAAAATACCTCAAAACCTCGGGCTTGTAGGTTGAACACGAGAACACAAGTCAGGCAAACGGAAAGATGGGCAGACAAACTTAAAACGGTTGAGAAGGCGATTCTTTGTGATGTGCCGTTTTGCTGTGATTACCCAAGAATTTTAAGGACGGCCTCGCTAGATGGACGGATGAGTTAATAGGGACGGCATCAAGTGTACTTATACTTGCCCATGAGTCGAATTCACCTTAGCACTGCATGCAGGGAGGTCTTTGATAATCCTTTGTATATTTCATAATCCAAAAGAATTATTGAACTTAACGCTAATCGCTTTCGATTACTTAAAATAAGACAAGTAAGATGAATTCAATTTATTTTAAAGGATTGATTTCTCACTGCGAAGCAATTAAACATATACTAAAGACGATCTGCCTACCGTCAGGGCAATAGGAAAATGAAACGGACATTGCTTGTCAATGTTTTGTTTAAAGGTTGTCGTGACCCATCTTGCCAGATCTCGGCCAAAAATCGACTGCTTCGGCTGAGATTGCCGCAAATCCTGTCGTTTATCTTGTCCTACCAAATGAGGAAGACACAACTATGCGTTACCCTCTAAAGTTACTTAGGCATAACTTACCCTGAACGAAAGACGTGACCTCAAAAGGAGAGACGATTTTGCATTCTCACTGTGTGTAAAGGTCTCTATCAAATTTTTGAATTTTTTAAATCTCGAAAGTTGAAAATGAGTCAAGTTAACATATTCGGTGGTTCTTTTGTTAAAGATATATTGATCCTGCGTACTGTGCGAATCATCTTATGGCATGTTATATTTCTTAGTTTGCTGTTGTTGTTGTTGTTGTTGTCGTTGTCGTTAACATAGCTATTTATTTGTGCTAGAATGCTGCCAAAAATGCGGAAGTTTCTTGTACTAACGTCGTTAACATTTTTTTTTCTTTTATATTGGGGGGATGGTATGCAAATCATTTTATTATAAATTTATTCTATAATGCCATTTGACTTTTACATTAGCTGACATAATCGAATTAAATTCTTTTCTGAATTGATAGATTTCTTGCACTCGAGATGAAACCCGGAATTTTTTGTTATTATTGGATAGGTCAAAAAGTAGTGACGCATAAACGCATGTCTCACATACTTCACACGAACTTCTTAGCCTCAAAAATTAGTTTTAAAGTTAAAATATTAAAAGTTTAGTGAAAATTAAATTTCATTCTTAATTTGCTGATACAATTATATCTTTTCAGACGTTCTATATGATGTATGATAAGATGTTCTTGTCGAACAGCGGTGAGTTGATAATTTAAGTTAGTGATTGATTTTAAGTGCTTACATATAGTAATTTCGCCTACATAAGCTTTATAAACCTTTTCTCTGTAGCCTCCTAGTTTTCATTGCTACAAAAAGTAATAGCTCCTTACGTTCAGAGGTCACTTTTATTTTGAGACAATTAGTTCATCTCTGCAGAGGTAGTGAAGTGCGAAGTAAGGATGTGACGATTGCCTACAGATTCCTTTCGTATTCAATTGATTTCGTCTTCTTCTTCACGCTCTGCAATGTCAATTATACCTGCACCAAGTTACTTTTTAACTTATCTTCTTTTTGGTAAATGGTATTTGCAGATCTTTCAGCCACAACTAGAATTTCGAAAATTGTTAATCGACAAACGCACGGTAGCAGAGCCGAAAAAAATGCTAAAGTTTTGCATTCTGTAGCAATTTCATATTTTGTGTGTTCCTCTTCTTCTTTTTCTGCAATTTAGCAAATCATCAACAGAAGATTCACGGTGTTGTGTTCAATGTGAATACGGAGTTCTTTGTTTGAACTTTAATAAAGGTCTTATGTGTGGTCACGTAAGATATTTTACATGTCTTCAAACTTCCTTCAGTCGTGAAACGACGTTCCGCTCGACTTTCCGCTGCTCACTAAGCTCAATATGCTGTGGTATGATAAGGTAGGCAAAAATTTCAATATTTTTGAAATTCTCTAATAAGGGGACATAACTCTTTCATCGCCTTTTTATGGGATCTTGTAATCTTCACATAAATATTTTCTGTTTCCATGGCATCACATGAATCGACTCCACATTAAAATACGCATAATTTCCTGCATAATCGTACACGCAAGATTTGCATTTGCGTAATTTTCAATAGAAAAAATTCGTGTATATATATTTTGTCTGAATAAGAAATCGTTAGGAAGCAAATGCATATGGCTTGAGGCTTGTGGAGCGTAAGCAATTTTTTCAACTTCTTCGCGAGCCGAGCACTTTTAAGTAATACCGTTTATCTTACCTTCGTTTGGCGAAAGAAATGTTTATATACGACCATGTGGTACTGTGTTCAAAAAGTAAAATCAATAGTCAATTTAAGTTGCGCTGGCATATCGATTATAATGGAGAATTTTTTACTACATAGGTTGCAGTGCGAAAGATACCTGTGTCAGGGAGTTAATCATGTAAGCAAGCGGTGATCGCCGTGATTATTGCCTTGTTTTTATTGGGAGAGGGGCGTCCCCTATTCTTTCCCAAAATTTTCCATATCAATGCATGGATAACTGAGAGCCAAATTGACATTTATTTGTTTTATATAAAGAAACTACGTAGGATAACCAATAATAAGCATGCAAATTGAAATGAATAGAAAATTGTATAGATTTCGTGTTAAACTATATTTAGCTTAATTTGGCTCGATATTTTAAAAAAAAACTTGTATTTACTTTTACCAAATATTTTTTTTGTTTTCCTCACAACTCACAAATGAAACTTCGGACACGCTTCACTTTTTTGAAATTTTTGATTTAATCATTCATTTTTTGGAGCTGTTTATATTTTTCTTTTGCTGCAGCCGCTGCAGAAGCATTTGGCGATCATCGTCAGAAAATTTGCTCACATGATTAGATTCTCTTGCCGATGATCGCCATTCATTGCCGTACGGTTATATGATTAGCCGCGAGATTTCAAGTAACGAAGGTCGTTGTGTCTCAGCCGCGTATGGTCCTGTATGACATAAGAAGCATTTTTTCCGATTTTTACAATGCGTGACTTTGTTGAGCAAAGAAGTTGCATTAAATGTTGTTTGTGAAATCAAATTTCTTGTGCGAAAACATTTAGGATGTTGCAAACAGCCTTTGTTTCGCAGACTTTGTCGGAAAAAAATTTTTACAATGGTATAAATAAAGGAATAAATGTGTAGTACCAGAGAGGGTTACTTTAAAGTAGATTTGGAATAATAAAAAAAGGGATAAAATTAAATTGATCTTACTTTTTCAACACGATAGTATTTATATTCACCTCCTGTTACTTTCCTTTCTACTTCCAAGAGGACGCTAGGCGAAAATGATACTCCCTTCTTTTATCCTTCCCTATCTATAATTTCCCTTGACCACCAGGAGGTATCCCTTGAGCAGCTGGTCAAGAAAAAGCTAAGTCTTTCAGCACAATTCGTGGTGTTGCCCCTTTTTTTTTATATTTATTTCTGTTGGGCTTAAGGATTGGTCTTTATATTAATCAACAATGAATAAAAATTGGAAAATTGCATTAGTAAACGTTATTCTTATAGTCTTTTCATCGTTACTATACAGTTTTTGACTATGACTTATGACGTATTTGCTCAATGTCTTCTTGTTATGGCTCTATATATGTCACAAGGTTATTTAAGCCCTAAATGAATTACATATAATCATTTTATTTATTGTTTTCATGAACTTTGTAAACCTGTTGTTATTATCAGATCAAATTTATTTTCAAATTTTATCAGTGGCAGTATTGTGAAAAATGAAATCGAAAAAAATTTGCGACATTTTGTAGCGAGGCATCAACTTAGTACTAAATGTCAACCATCGAAAGGTCTAAATAAAAACAGATACGAAAAAAGCAACTGTGTTAAGAATAATGGAAGTTTTGTTTGAAAGAATTCAATTAATAAGGAAAACATATCAATATTCCGTTTCCGTCAGTGTCGAGCGAAATATTAGCCTTTAATCCGTGAAGAAAACACAGAAGCACACTTGCCGCTTAAGAAGTCACATGAAAATTTGATCTTATGGCCCAAAAAATCGGTGAGAAAATTATATCCAAGAAAGTAGAAAAGCAATTGTGGGAGGAAAACGAATTACCTGAAATCACGTTGGCTCATCCCAAAGCCAAAAAGTGGATTGTTTCAATGGCTACGGCCAACTATCAAGAATTGGTCAAGCTGGCCAGCGAATGGCCGGAACTTGTTAAATTACGAGATCCTTTTACGGGTTATTCTGCTTTACATTGGGCCGCAAAACACGGTCGTGAGGATATGGTGAACTTACTTGCGGGTAAATATAAAGCGGACGTTAATAGTAGAACCAATGGTGGATACACACCTTTGCATATCGCAATGCAATTCGATCGAACCAAAGTATTTCATATGCTATTCGATACCTATAAAGCGAACCTTGATCTTTTAGATTGGGCCGGTAATAAGGCTTTGGACTATAGCAAGCGAAAAACTATCGTCTCTGTTTCGCCATATAGCAATAAGTATAGCCCAAAATTTCTATTCGACAAACTTAACAGCGACTATCATTTTAAATCGCCATCTAATATACGCAATCTGTCAACCAGTAGTAAAAGATCTCTTGGGGTCGGCACGATGGCCAGAGCTTCAATGCGCTTTAAAAAACGATCTCAATCAAATGCAAACAGTCCTCTGAATCGTACGCAGTCATTAGGGACTAGCTTTCCTTCAAATTCAATGTTATCTTTAGCGGGTAATGAAGAGAATTTACAGCCGTGCTGGTTGTCAACATCGAATGTTTCAGCGACATCCGATGATTTATTGTCGAACGATGCACATAGTGAAGGTACTCGTGTAAGTCCCCGTAGTAAAACACGCGCTGCTACCGTCTTATTTTAGTTATCTCCTTAATATTTTGTTCTTATTAGTTTTGTTATTATTTTTCCTTATATTTATTCTCGATTTTGTCAATAACGTAGAGTTTTACTTTTTACACAATTTTTATTTCAATTTTTATTTTAAAATTTTTTTCTCTTTATTGTACTAATTTATCATGAATTGTATCTTCAGTGATTCTATTTATTTTTTTTCTACATTTTATTAAATTCCTATTAAAATTTAACGCCAACAAAATCTCAAATATATTTTAGTTAAAGTTAGTTTAAAAAAATTTAAAATAATTGCTTTAATAAATAATCAGGATCTCGGTTCTGTATGCTGTAAGAAGAACAAACGGCGTACGAATTAACTTTTCCGGAATGCCTGGTAGAGATCATTTAAATAGAGGCAACAGCGAAATCACTTATCGACTTATCTGTCTGCCAATATCGAGGTGCAATTTATCCTTGCTGCTCTCGTCAGGTTAAGTTTAAGTAACTTAAAGGCGAACGCCTGAAGTTTTTTATTGTATTTTTTTTTTTTTTTTTTTGTAGATTTCAGATTTTTTTTTGCTGATCAGATTTTGAATTTCGGTAGCTTTCGATTCTAATAGGTAGAAAACCGTAAACCGACCCATAGGTTTATTGTAAACCTTAAATGACTTTTGCAAACCGAGATATAATAAATCAGTCCTGATAAATGCAACACTTAGTAGGACTTGAGATAGACCCACCGTTTAATGTACCGATCGAGTCAGGATCCCTTTGTTAATCAATCTAAGCTTTTCGGTCCCTTCGCCCTTTTAGTTTTCTTTTGTCTCATCTACAGGTCGCAATTTTAGTGATTTAATGATGAACTTTTCCCATTACAGTGTTTTCACTTTGTTTTGAAATATTTTTCTGTGCCCTATATATGTATGAATTCTATTAGAGAAACCATAAACTGTTGCAAACGATGTCTGAACTCGTGCAATGTTAACCTAAAACGCAAGTAACCGCAAACTGTTTTATAAGTTAAGGTTAAGTTGTTATTATGTTGAGTCATCTACGTCGTCTGTCTGTCTACCTTAATTCTGCAGTTATTCTCGCTTATGTCTTTTCTCATTGTTTTTTTTTTTAACAGCTTTCTTGATTATAATTTACTTAGTCAGAGCATATCCGTGCACAAGTTTATGTGAATCGCTTACGAGTATATATTTTCTATATTTTTTCTTATATACAAAGATAAAATTACTGTATTGTTATAAATAGTAGCATGCAATTTACAGCAAAGAAAAAATACTATTGCGTATTTTTGGGGGAAACAAATAAAACAGTTTGCAGCCCCCTTTCAGGTGTTAAATAATGTTAATATTCCAGTTAAGAGTTTTTTTTTTCAAGGTAAAGTTTGTTCAATTTATTTAATCTATAACTTTTTCTATAGAGATGTAAACATATAATGTGGGAAGTTTTTTTCTAAAAAAAACACGACAAATCTCATCCATTAAACTACAACAGCTTATCTTTTCCTCTCCGTCCTCACTTCTTTCTGGCCATCATCGTGCTACGTCCCCAGGAAACATGCCTTGAGTGATTGGCCATATTGAAAGAAAGAAAGAATGCATGAATGGGTGCCATGTAAAGAATCATCTTGTGTTGCATTTTTGGGCATTTCGGTCTTCTTGTTTTACTTTTTAGTACGCCTTAATAGGTCGGTATAGACCGCTCCGTTTTGGTCTTGCAAAACACAGGGCATCGTCTTGCTAACAAAGGTATTTCATCTTGCGCTAGGGGTGGATAATGCGTCTGTGATAATTCGTGCTCGGTATTTTTAAAATAAATCCATCTTGCTAACAAACCTAAGCAATACTGTGCAAAAACATGTTCAATTTATCACTTAAGCGCGTTTGGAACTTGTCGATGATGCAACAAAATATTCTTTATACTATACATATATATATATAATATATTGTAAAATTCCTTATGCCCGGGCGCACTATCTCTTGTTTAGATGTCTGCTTCCAATTTGTGCATCTCTTGCGGTCTTAAGTTTTGTAAAACAAAATTTATAAATTTCCCGTTTAGGATTTGAATCCTGGTATCTTACAGTACTAGATTTATTTTCTTTGCTTCCATTTTATCCGCCGCACACTACCTCTGAAAGTACTATACACACGAAACCTAAAGACACATTCATTTGTTCCGTACTTTTAGTTGAACATTGCTTGCCAATATGTTATTACATTTGTACCTTCACGTACGCGAAAGAAAGTGTGCGTACATTTCTCAACTCAAACGGAAAAATTGAATTATAAACAACTTTGGACAAATTAGTGAAGATCATACAGTTAACAGCCTGCAATTGCTTTGGATATTTCATAATAATGTGAACAAGAGTAACACTAGACCTCCGCCATTGACTAGAAATTTCTTTGTCGCAAATATATGCTTCTTCTTTAAAGAACTGAATATAGATTAATTGATGATCAATTGCGACTGACAAACAGGTAACGCACGAGCTAAGCTGAGCGCAGGTTAAATGTGGCATGTGGAGAATAAAGTAACCTAAAGGAAAGAAAATGATAAACTAAAATAAGCTTTGCTTAGGTACCGCGCAGTAATCAAATGTTATTTAAAATGGAACAAGTAAAAATATTATAGTGGGCCACGACCCAACGTTAAATAACCTACGCCAACCTGCAAGTATTTATATAATGATTTTTTAAAATGGGGGGTTGTACGGAAAGGACTTCAACGAGTGGTCCAATCGGTGCACCAAATTTCATTAAAATATGCCAAAAAGTTTACACAAGACGGACAGACGGACAGACAAGTATAAATCGATTCAGAAAGTGCAGGACACTTGCATACATCTACATAAACTTAACATATCGTTGCACCACACATGGCATAGGGTATAAAAATTGTACCAGAATCTTATGCTTTTGAAGCTCTCTTACGAATGATTAATTTTTTCCAACATGTATCATACAACACATCAAACTTTACATATATTAAAAGTGAGTGCTAATATTCAGTTTCTTTCTCTACTATTTTTTTTTTCTCGATTTAAAGGCAAAAATTCGAGAAGAACAGTAGCGACAGTGAAAGATATTAAAAGCGTGAGAAACTTTAGAAAGAAAACACGAAAAACTTAACACCACCGAAGTGGAAAATCGAAACTAATCATAAATTTATTTTCCTATATAGTGTTTGCGTGTTTTTATGAGTGAGTTTATATCGTGCGTTTTAGAGGCACTACTTTTGTCGCTCGTTTTACCACAGCTTCGCTGTGCCGCCATCGATTGCCTTGTACGTGTGTTAGAGACTCTAATTTCGGTTTTTTTTTTTTTCATTTTTTCAAAAGTACGGTTTGCATAGATAATGAAAAATTCGAATGCATTTTATTTTGTTTTCTCTCATTTCCTCCATATGTCGCGTGAAAGTATGTTTCTTTTTCTACGCGCACAGTTAGTTATTGTGATATGACCGTAATTTGAATTTGTAAACATATTAATTTTATCATCATCATCATATTGTTGGAAGCGAAGCAACTGGGTAAATTGATATGAACAGGTTGAACGGAATAACTGAGTCAGATTGAATTTGAGAAAGAGACGTAAACGATGAACAAATTATCATTTTCTAAAGCGAACGCTGAAAATGACTTTTCCTTAATATTTGAAAGGAGTCAATATAATATGTGATGTTTGTGTTTTTTAGATCCGACTCTAGTGAACGGGTTCTCTTAGTTTGCTAGAAATTTAGGCAGATTTCATTTACTTGTGTAGCTCACGTTCAAACCGAATATAACTTTTTTAATTACATTTCTGATTGCCATCACTATGTCTCTTATATGATATGTGCCACCACATTTGTAACGTTATTTAGTTTTATACTGTATGCTTTTTTCTATGGAATTCGGGGAGGCAAGCATATGACATATAAGAAAAAAACGGCAAGTTATCTTTCATTTTTAGCGGGCTTTGTTTCTTTCACTTGACTAGAACTCAAGCATTTGTAACCGCGTTCCAAAGCTTTCATTGCATAGCTTTTAAAATGAGTGCACATGGTGAAGAGCCATCCATTTCTTACTGGGAGCCACGTTTCAGCTTTGTGAGGTGTCATTGATACATATAAGGTCTAGTGGCAAGTTTCGCGCTTTTTGCCTTTGGTTCACTTAAATACAATATTATTGTGCCCTACACCATCTGTAGTACAAGGTTAAGTTCGTGCGGATGTATGCAATACCCAGCAAGACTTGACACAGACCCATCATTTGTTTTGCCGTTCGACTCGGAAAGTGATTCTGAATCGATATAAGCTTGTTTGTCCGTCCTCTTTTCTAGTGTCCAATCTATGAAAACTGTTCGGGATGGACTACTTTTCCGCCCACTTCCCATATAAATCGTTGTATGAACAAGGCTAGGGTGGCATAGGGTATACAATGGTGAACCGTGGAGCGCCATGGTGTTCTTACTTGTTATACCTATCATTGTGATTGCGTTAGATGTATTGCCTTGAAATTTCCTTATTTAAGACGATGTGAGAAGCCGCTATTTATTAATGAAAAGAAATGTTCTAAATTGCTTTCCACTCCTCCTTATATTCATCAAGCTAAATGAGAAGTTAGTCCTTAAGCTCTCTTTCAATTATCGAAATAAAATTTTATATTTTTTCTAATCGATCTAAGCTTGTCTGTCCTTCTCTCCGGTTTACATTCCTATGCCCAACATATAGGTCGTAATTTATGAGATATTTTGATGAAATTTCGTACATCGACACGCTTTGACCCAAAAACAATCGCTATGGCAAATAGTTCAGATCGGCCCCATTCTTCGACTACTTCCCATATAACATTTAATTTTGAAAACACGTTATATGGATAACTACGTTAAACGAAATATTGTACAGTATTTAACGGTGAGTAGTGTTCCACTATAGTGCTCTTCCTTGTTCTGTAGAATTTATTTTTTCAAGAAAATATTAATTTTTATTATTTAATCATAGGCATTTTAAAAAACATGAGCAAAATAATTTTAT